TCTCTTCTATTTTCTGCTGATAGGTTTAATAGCTGCAGGAGTGGGAGCTCTGCTGATATGCATCATTATCTTCTTCTCAAGACGAAAAATATCATTAATGATCTCAGTATATTTTCAGAAGATGAAAAAGAACGATGAAGCCATTGAGTCCTTCATCAGAAATAATGGGCCTCTAACTATAGAAAGGTACACATTTTCAGAAATCAAGAAAATGACCAACTCTTTTGAAGTCAAATTGGGAGAAGGAGGTTATGGCACTGTATTCAAAGGAAGCACACTAAACAGCTGTCCCGTGGCTGTGAAAGTGTTGAATGCATCCAAAGGGAACGGTGAAGAATTTATCAATGAGGTTGTGAGCATTAGTAGGACTTCACATGTAAATATTGTCGCCCTCCTTGGTTTTTGTGTTGAAGGCAGCAAAAAAGCACTTGTGTACGAACTTCTGCCCAATGGTTCACTTGAGAAGTTCATATGCAAGAGGGATTTAGAGCCAAATGATCCGCCCTTGAGCTGGGAAAAATTACTCCAAATTGCAGAAGGGATAGCTAAAGGACTCGAGTATTTGCATAGAGGTTGCAACACTCGAATCTTGCATTTTGATATAAAACCTAACAATATCCTTTTGGATAAAAACTTGTGTCCAAAGATCTCAGATTTTGGGCTGGCTAAACTCTGTTCTAAAACACGTAGTATTGTCTCAATGGTTGATGCAAGAGGAACTGTTGGATACATTGCACCAGAAGTATGGAATAGAAACTTTGGAGGAGTCTCTCATAAATCAGACGTTTATAGTTATGGAATGTTGGTTTTGGAAATGGTTAGAGAAGACAAAATATCAACAGAGACATAAATGATTCAAGTGGTGAATATTTTCCTTATTTGGTATACAAGCAAATTGAGATGGACAAGAATATAACAGAACATGATGGTATGACCAGAGAGGAAAGTGAAATTGCAAAGAAGATGATCATGGTGGGATTATGGTGCGTCCAGACAATGCCATCAGAAAGGCCTCCCATGAATAGAGTGATTGAGATGTTGGAAGGGAGCTTGGATCAGCTCTCAACGCCACCAAAGCCTTTCATGTTTGCCCCTATAATTCCAGCAACTGGAGAGGGAAATTGTGCTACAAATGGTGTTCTTTCCTTTTCGGTGGATTATCAATGCGGTAGATAGAATTCCCCTTTCGCAAAGTTAAATCCTTGTATACTTGTAAATGCATCATCGATACGAAATTAGTAGCTTCTTTTTCTACCTTATGCGAATTTTTCAGTTTGAATTTCGAGAACTATGTGCCGCCATCAAGTGAAAAGTATATATAGCACATGTCATTACTAGGATGTTATATACTAGCTTCTTCCATGGATAATTTGTCAAATTTATTCAAAATACGAAAGGGTTGAAACTATTATAGATAAGCACCAAAATGATAATTAAAAAAAATTGGGTCTAGTAGAAACAATTAATTCATCCTAATATGATAAATTAAAGTTTGAATCCTTATTGGAGTGCCCCATAATGCCTCAAAATTATTTACAAAATTTATACAGTTATTTTGTCGGACCAAAGTCTTCCTCTAGAAAAAAAAATGTGTCAGGAATAAAATGGTCGTGGAGCAAATAATTTACATAATTTAATAATCATTCCTATGGGAAAAAATAGTACTAAGAAGGCGGAAGTTTAATACTCTTCCGGTTCTTAATATATGAGTTAATTAGGAAGTTAATGTTGATCCTTTACATAAGACTTATTTCACATGTTTATTGATTTTTTTTTTCAAATTAACCCTATTAATATTTCCCTAACAATAATCAAGTAAGAGAAAGAGAGCGGGAATTAAAAAAGATACTTATGAACATATCATATTAACTAATTTAACTAATATATTTAATCTACTTAAATTAGTTAATTAGGTTGTCTATTAAGAACAGGAGGAATAGTATTTAAATTTCATATATATATATATATATGACTATTAAATTACCTTTATCTTTGTATTAAATTGCATGATTACTAGTTTTTTCTTTTTAAAGAGGTAAAGAATGCCAAAAGCCCAAAATTAACCCGAAATTTTCCTATGTGTGATTAGAAAAAATTTTCTTTATCTGATTACTAAATTTCTTTTCTTCGGCTTCTAAATCAATTGTTTTTAAAAATGTGATAAAAATGGTTGAACACCTAAAATTGATGGCTAAATTTGAATCTTTTGCAATTCTTTTTTTCTTTGTTTGACTTTTAAATATATTTAAAAAAAAACTAGTACACAATTTCATCCCTTTTGGAAAAACGTCGTCAGCGACGACAGCTCCACCACCAGGGAAGTTCGCCGGCTGTGCCATTGCCAACTACGAAAGTAAAGGGAGGAGGAAGGAATTACACACGCACGCACACACATGATTGTTTTGTGGGCATTTTGATCAAGCCACTTTTTTTCTGGGAAAAATGACGCACAGGTCCCAAGAAGCAGACTTTATTCATCTAAGATCCTACAAAATGTCAAAATTATTAGTAGGTCTCAAGGGACCTTAGAGTATTATATGCTAATTGTAAAATGACATGACTACTTTTTAGATTTCTAATTCACGTTTTCTATGCTATTGTGATTGACAGTCTTAGCAATGACTATTAACAACCCAATGAAAAGTTGTTGATAATCTCAGCAGTATCCGTTGACAACCTACTTTATAAGATTACGTAACCTTTTAATAAAAATAAATTATAACCAAATAGTATAATACAACAATTTTAACTTTGAAATGACAAGTTTTTCAAAGGCAATAAGAAATATGTGAAGTGGAATTGCCTGGAAAAAATTGACCAACTTATGGGGACTAACATGGCTCTACTAACCCAAGGTTGGTTGTTAACTTGGTTTTAATGATTAATTGCTGATCTCTAATGAACTGCAAAAGGGAGTCTGACCAGCAATTTACTAATTTGTGAGTACAGGGGAGAACATGGAGCAAGTGCCAAACAACAGTGGCAGCAACAATGAAGCAATATCGTTTGGTAATGAGATGGATTTCCTGGGAGATAGCTAAGCAACAAACAACGTGGAAATTGGAGAAAGCGGTGAGTGGGGGCTGAATAATCCAGTATTCTCAGCAACATCGTATGTAAATGCCATGTCTTATAACTTCTTCGACACACAATCAGATGGGAATATAACGGCCTCTGCTTCTCTCATGGACGGTTCTGCAACTCCCAGATGGCCTTGATCATTATACTGTACATATATAGGACTCTATAACTTACAGCATCAGGTAAATTAGGTTTTAGTGCAGTGCCAAGTGTTTGGGCCCTCCAAATGTGTTTCCTAAGCATCACGGTGCTTAAATTGGGCTTTGTTATGTTAGCTTGTAGAGAGTAGTTGTTCGTTAGGTGGGGGCAGGCCCATTTTTAAGAAGGTGTTGTGGATGATGGGCCGAGCCTCTCCTTCAAAAAAGTCACCCTTGCCCTTGATAGGTCAGTGTTGCTGTGTTTATCCAATGTTTCCCAAGTCACAGACATCCGCAACGTGATGTTTCATTTCTTCTTGTATTCGTTTTGGGCGTGGTTTCCTTTGATATCGATCTCCGTTCAGTTCGAGTTCTGACTTTATACTGCTATTACTAAAATCTAACCAAATAACCGTGGATTGTTTAGTACAAAAATTGATGTGAAGTTCACAGAAAGGTATGTTAGATGAAGAGGTCCCCCCAAAAAAGGGATCCGGTTCGTCTAAAAGTTGTTAAAATAGAGCTTCTTTAATGTGTCGAGAGTTAAATCTAAATCCTCAGCTTCATATCAGAGACGTAATAGAAAAGCTCTGCATTGACAGGTTACCAATCGTAGTAGAAATTCTAAAAATGCTTAAAATCCTAAAACCGATCGTAGTAGAAATCGATTACCAAGGTATTATACTGGAAAAAAAAACGCAATTCTCAGCTCTCACATAACTTCACGTAACGTTACAAATTGAGCCTCTCCAAAATAGTGATCGTAAATTAAATGGACATGATTTTCAACAGTTATATGGTTCAACTCACACAGGAATCTGAATCATAAAGCTCAGTACATAAAGAAGTTGCCCAGCAAAGGAAATGGTGAATCACAGAAGGACGAACAAGCAGAAAAGCAAAGGATGTCGACTCAGATGGAAGATATCTTAATCATTTCACACCCCTCAACCTAAGATCAGTAAATCATCATTTGTTCAGCCATTTTCAGAGCGTATGAACATCAAGACTTGAGATAAACCAAGAAATTTCGAGGATTTTGTCTCGATTACAAGATCATTCCACAAAGTCCCTTGTCCCTCGGGCAAGGGGACTCAATTTGGCTGCAAGTCTATCTTGTCTCTTCAATAGCATAAATTATCATAAGCATTTCACAAGACTCATATTTGCCATCTTCTTGCCAACAATAAGAGAAACGTTTCCTCATGGCGACACTCGTAAGCTTTCTTCTTCCTCTGTTTTCCTTCTTCATCCATACTGCCTCTACTAGCAATTCCACTTCATCCTTCACAGTCTGTCCCGCCTACAGCTTTGCCCATCGGATCCAAATCGGATACCCTTTCTGGCTATCACATGGTTCCATTCCTGACCAGTATTGTGGTTACCAAGAATTCGGCCGCATCTGCGATGATGGCTATCCCGTCTACTCTTCACCAGCTGGATTATATTATTGTTTCACGAACATAGATGGTGATAATCATTCCCTTCACCTCGTTGATTTTGATACCTTCTACCAAACATGTCCGGGGGTAGTTCACAAAGTTCCATTGGGCAACTTACTCCTTCCTCGCTTCCGTTTGAATTTGAAACTTAGGTCTTATTGCAATTCCAGTTCTCACCGCTCTTATGCATCACCCATAACGGGCTTTTCACCTGTAGTGGAGAGCGAGAGTGGGGGTTTTGATTGGTCTAGGAATTTTTAAGAGAGCGTTACCGGGATAAATTTGAAGGACCATGTTACAAGTGAAGGGTTGATGAATGACCATAAAGAAGAGGCCATGAATGAAGGTTTTGTGCTTGACCGGCAAAGAGTTTGTGATGAGTGCGAAGAATCTGATGGGCTGTGTGGCTACAATAATGCTAAAAATGAGTTCATGTGTTTCTGCAAGGATGGCAGCGAACAAAGCAATGGCTGCTCAGGTATGTTAGCAATAAGCTGGATCATATATTCATTGAAAAGGTGTGGTCGCAATCTATTGCAACAGAACATGTGGCTCTTTCGTTCTTGATGGCAGTCTGAAACATACTAGTACTAACTAGTTGGTGGAATACATACATTGCAAGAAACCTATGTTGAGGAAACTAGAGGTGTGTATCAGCTAGGTCCGAGTCGTGCTGACAGACACTGTCCTTAAGAGTTATTCTGCCATCGTAGGTAAACATGAGTGCGGCACTCCCCAGGATTAAACGAACCCTTCCTGCAGAAAACAAGATGACAGAATAGTAGAAAAATATAACCCAGCACCATAGAAACACAGAGAGGGAAGAAGAGATATGCAGAGGAGGAACAGATGCTCGAAAGCTCAAGAGTAGGGTGCAGAACACATTGTCTTGGACCGCTTTATATAGGCCTCCGGGACCTAACCGTTGGGCACAATCATAAACACAATTAACTCGTTGGTTTCATACGTTACTGCATTAATCTGTAATTATACTGTTGGTTATGAACGTTGGGTACGTTTAAGAAATAAATTTCAGACGTTACCATACATTAATCCATGAGAAACGGTTTAAGGATTAATGGAGGATTAATCACGGTTTGAAAACTCCCAACATTCAGTAACTTTCGGCTGTTACAAAAATAAACGGTCAAAAGAAAGGATTTTATGATAAGCTCTCTTAACACCATTTTATAATTTAATTTTGCAAAAGTGATTTATAAAAGGTGCCCGGTACTGTTCTAATTCGCGCGCAGGGGGGAAATCGTCAATTTTCAACTGCGTTTCCCTCCTGGTGGACTGTTGTTGTGTACGCGAAACCCTCCTTCTCCTCTAACACATTCACCAGCCCAATAATGTGTGATAGTATTTATATACTTGAGTTCCCTCTCTCTTGGGCAATGTGATACTTCACTTTTGACACACCCCTTTACATTCACAACAACCTATACATAAAAGATTGCACTATAAATAATATTTGCTAATGGTTTGACCGTATAAATTTATTAATTAGATGTATTGCAAGATATTAATAAAACATGCTTCATTACTCTTTACCTTAGCCCTGCATTTGTCAGTAAGTACATGTTGACTTTTTAGGTCTCTAATCCTTGTAATTCACACGATTTCACTCATTCGTGTTTTGTTAATGAAATATATGCTTTTTTTTGTTTGTGACAGGGAGACGCATGTAAACATCGTCAGCGTCTTTGGTTCTTGTCCTGAAGGCAGCAAAAACACAGTCGTATATGAACTTACGCCCTATGATTCACTTGAAAAGTTCATATGTAGGAGGGATTTAGACCCAAATGATCCATCCTTAAGTTGGGAAAGATTACTCCAAATTGCAAAAAAGATAGCTAAAGGACTCTGAGTATTTGCATAGTGGTTGCAACCCTCAGATACTGCATTTTGACATTAAACCTAACAATATCTTTTTGGATAAAAGCTTTTACCCAAAGATCTCAGATTCTGGACAAGCTAAACTTTGTTCTAGAACACATAGTACCATCTCAGTGCCTGGTGCAAGAGGCACTGCTGGGTATATTGCTCTAGAAATATGGAATAGGAACTTTGGAGAAGCCTCCCACAAGTCAGAGGTGTTTAGCTATGGAATGTTGATTTTAAAAATGGCTGGAGGAAGGCAAGATATCAATGGAGAAGGGAGTGATTCAAGTGATAAATATTTTCCTCATTTTGTATACAAGCAAATTGCAGTAGACAAGAATATTACAGAACATGATGACATGATGGTGGGATTATGGTGCGTACGGACAATACCATCAGATAGACCTGTCATGAGTAGAGTGATTGAGGTGTTAAAAGGAAGCTTGGAACAGCTCTCAATTCTACCAAAGCCTTCCATATTTTCTCCTGTAACACCAAGAAATGAAGAGGAAAATTGTGCTCCATGTTATTCTGTTTATGTTTGATTAGTTACTCTGTAGATGGTTGTAATACAGACACCTTAGCTTGCTAATCTCTGTAAATATAGTGATGAATTATGTGGCAGTCCTTTCTCCCAGTTTTGCGTCTCTGTACCATGCTAATGCGAATTTACAGCGACTAAGAATACTCCATGTCATCTGAATAAATAATGAAATAATTTAAAATCAAATTATTTGACTAAGTATCAACAGGTGCTTTTCTTTTTTTTTGGCTGGTGTGGTTTCTTTTCATAATGATGTTCGTCAGTTTGGATTTCAACTTTAAACTGCTATTAGTAAAATCCAGCTCAGTAATTGCGGATTGTTCAGGACATAATTGATGTGAAATTCACTGAAAGGTAGAGTGAAAAAAAACATGACCACCCACAACTTGTATTTAATAAAAATAAAACTTTTCTGAGACAAATAATAATTGAGGTGTGAATGGGTTTCGTTGAATTTTATATTATTTTTTTAAATCGTAAATTTGACTTTTCGGTGGTGGTGTTTCTTTTAGTAAAACAAAATTGATTTTATGAAAACATTTTTGGATGAAAAAAGGTAGCGTAATCTTTTACCGGTGAGATTGCCGCAAAGAATTGGGAAAAAAAGAAAAAGCCCCTTTCGATGATCATTGACATTGGAAGTAGCTTAATCAACAAATTTGAACAACAAAAATAAATTAATAGATGAGCGTACTTTTGTGAGTTGTATTTTAGGTTGTACTTGAGATTTTTTTGAGTGCTTTTTTTTTAGTAGGATGGTATCGCTAACTCAGGGTATCCCAGCTTATCGGCCAGACTAATCCCAGGGTGCCTCGCGCAGGTATCGAGCCCATGACGTGGTAGGGAAGGCGCCTTGCGTTTCAGTTTGTGACCAGTCGGACCCCACCTTTGCAGGCTTTTGAGTGCTTTTTTAGCTGCGGGCATTAGTGTTTGTACTTGATTTTTTTAAATTGATAAAATAAACTCTGTTTTTGTCAAAAAAAAAAAATTGTAACACGTTGATGATTTTGCTTGAAAAGCTGCTGCCATTATTATAATGCTATGACTTTGGATAATCATCAGGCCTAGATCAGATTCGGATATTCTAAATCTTAATATTTTCATCATTTAAAAAAGATTTCTTGAAACAATATAAATGAAACATAAATTCTACACGTCCAATCATGCTGGAAACTTGGGATCCAACCTTATAAAAGCGGCATCCTTGTTGCAGAACCACAAGATGAGCCTGTAATATCCGCGTTAAATTTGACTCCTCGTGAAACACATGCCTTGTACACCTATTCAACACGAAACCAGACAGATCTTAAAAGGAAAATTATAATTAGGTCCTAAAAAAATATTTAATTATTCTAAAATCCATTGATATTTGAGGAGTATGACTAGCATAGAAAATAATAACTTGTTATGTTTCTCATTTGTACATTTTAGTAATTAAATTGTTTCATGGGAACATAATTTTTCCTAATTAAAATCCTAAATCTACTCGTAGAACAAGTCAATTACGAAGTTATACTCCTAAACAAGTCAATTTTGGCACATCGTCATCTTCCCCATCGTACAAGGGCTTGACCCTTGATAATTCTACTTTGGCACAAAATGTTCACATTTCAAATTCCAACTTCCTATTCACTTTCCAACGTCTTCCGGGTTATACTATCTCTTATCATCAATATAAGAGTTACTCTTCTAGTTAAATTTATAAGATAGAGAGAAGATATTTTCTTGTTCTTATTTATAGGGTATTAAGAGAAATTTTTTTTTATAGATGTATAATTTTATTCTTCATTTATTATTGTGTTAACTTTCTTTATATATAATATATATTAAATTGAAATAAAATTAAAAAGTTGTTCAATTTTAAATAAGAGTTAATGAAATTCAAGGTTGTTTTTGCTCTGTGTGAAACATGTTGGAAGTGACTCATAAATAATATCAGAGGAGTAGTTTGATATTTAATTTGATCCTAAATATAATATTCCAATTCACTTTATCTCTCATATTTATCTTTTTTTTCTAAAATAATTTTTATAATAGTTGCACATGTTAAACTAGTTCTTACTAACACATATAATTAACAATAGTATTTTAGGGAAGACGATATATATTTATTATAAATAATTAATTTAACCAATCTTCTAATATATTCAAATTAGTTAAGTTCTCTTATACCGACGACGAGAAGTAATATATAATCTATTGTGGAAAATATTCGAGTTTTACACTTGCAAATATCAAATATGCCCATAATATTTGAGAATATCTATGGCCACTAACAAACTACGCATTCTTGATGAGCCCCAGTTTTCACGTCAATGTTGTTTGGGTTCGCCTAAATCCAAATAAGCAAATACATAAAGCATTTAAAAAAAAAAAATCAGATGCACAATGCTGCTGACAAAGCGAGTGAACCAAAAAGCATATACGTCACCTTGTTGCAGTGGTTACTTGCACAAGCACTTCGACTTCCACTCGATTGAAAAATCTGAATTCAGAGTATCTTCCTATCATCTATTACACGGCAGTGTATTTGTGCTCAACCTAAGATCAGTATATCGTCAACTGTTCAGCAATTTCTGTATTGTGTGAACATCAAGACTGGAAATAAACGAAGAAATTTCAAGGCTTTTTCCTCCTTTTCGAGATTATAAAGTCCATTGTCCCTCCACCAAGAAACTCAATTTTCTTCAAGATCGCCAAAATATCATAACCATTTCACAAGACTCGAATTCGCCATCTTTTTGCCAAACTCAGAATCATCCTGATGTCATTCCAACAACAAGAGGAACACTTCCTGATGCTGAAGCTCATCCCATGCTTTTTTCTTCCTCTGTTTTCCTTCTTCATCCATAATGCCTCTGCTAATGATTCCACTTCGTCTTCCACAGTCTGTCACCCCTACAGCTGTGCCGACGGTTTGCAAATCAGATACCCTTTCTGGCTATCACATGGTTCCCCTCCTGACCAGTACTGTGGTTATCAGGAATTTGGGCTCATCTGCTCCGATGAAGGTGGCTACCCCATCTTCTCTCTGCCGCCTGGGTTATATTATCGTGTCGCGGGCATAGACTATGATAATCATACCATTCACCTTATTGACCTTGACACTTACAACCGAACATGTCCAAGGGCACTTCACAACGTTCCCCTGGGAAATTTGCCCCTTTCGCATTCCCCTTTGAATTTGAACCTTGGCTTTCACTACAATTGCAGTTCTTACCCATATAATGCTTCGCCCATAAGATGTTTGACGTCTGGTGCGAAGCAGTCCTTTGTGTTTGTGATGGGGAACGAGAGTACTGGGGATTTTGATTGGTCCAAGACTTGTGAACAGAGTGTTGTGGTGACAGTGATGAAGGATCATATTACAAGTGAAGGGTTGATGAATGAGTATAAAGAGGCCATGAATGAAGGGTTTTTTCTTAATTGGCAAACTGCCAAGAGTTGTAAAGAGTGTGAAGCTTCTGATGGGATTTGCGGCTACAGTAATACCAGAAAGCAGTCCCTGTGTTTCTGCAAGGATGGCAGCGTACAAAGCAATAGCTGCTCAGGTATACTAGCACGCTGGATCATTTATTGATAGAATAGGTGCCGTTGCAATTTATTGCAACAGAACCTGTTGCTCTTTCTTTCTTGATTCCAATTTGAAATATGCTAGCACCTAGTTGGTGGTATACATACATCGCAAGAAACCTATATAGCAAATTGCAATTATGAATAATTTGACTATATATATTGTATTAGATGTATAGATAGATATTAATAAAAACATGCTTTGTTACTCTTTACAATATGCCTATATTAGTCAATAAGTACAAGTTGACTTTAGATCTCTAACCCTTCTGAATGATAAGATTTCGTTGATTCGTGTTTCGTTAATAAAATAGATGCTTTGTTTGGTGACAGGAAGACGCAAAGGCCATTTGTCAAAGCTAATTATTGGTAAGATGTCTCTTGACACACACACACAAACACGTCCTTTCCTGCCATGCTCTTTTTTCGCATGATGGTAAAAGAATGGTCTTGTAATGATATATATGAATGTACGTATTTACAAAAACATACTAAAGATCGGGAAATGCTTGTATATGGCCAGCCACTGAAAGCAGAATATAGCGGCCATTTGAGAATGAGGCTTGTTAAGTAGAAAGTTAAATATTGCTCCTGAACATCTTTTTGTCTATAAAGATTAATGGAAGTTAAACAATATAAACTATCATTGTACAATGTGATCGGAAGCACAAGCTTTATATACCCATTTACAGCGGGTAAGGCCCTGATTCTCTAGTCTCTTGCATAAGGGGTTTCAAAATGAGGTCTCCATCACCTGAATTATCTTCTATTTTCTGCTGATAGGTTTAATAGCTGCAGGAGCGGGGGCTCTGCTGATATGCATCATTATCTTCTTCTTGCGACGAAAAATATCATTAATTATCTCAGTAAATTCTTGGAAGGTGAAAAAGAACGATGAAGCCATTGAGGCCTTCATCAGAAATAATGGGCCTCTAGCTATAACAAGATACACATTTTCAGAAATCAAGAAAATGACCAACTCTTTTGAAGTCAAATTGGGAGAAGGAGGTTATGGCACTGTATTCAAAGGAAGCGCACTAGACAGCTGTCCTGTGGCTGTGAAGGTGTTGAATGCATCCAAAGGGAACGGTGAAGAATTTATCAATGAGGTTGTGAGCATTAGTAGGACTTCACATGTAAATATCGTCACCCTCCTTGGTTTTTGTGTTGAAGGCAGCAAAAAGGCACTTGTATACGAACTTATGCCCAATGGTTCACTTGAGAAGTTCATATGCAAGAGGGATTTAGCGCCAAATGATCCACCCTTGAGCTGGGAAAAATTACTCCAAATTGCAGAAGGGATAGCCAAAGGACTCGAGTATTTGCATAGAGGTTGCAGCACTCGAATCTTGCATTTTGACATAAAGCCTAACAATATCCTTTTGGATAAAAACTTGTGTCCAAAGATCTCAGATTTTGGGCTGGCTAAACTCTGCTCTAAAACACGTAGTATTGTCTCAATGCTTGATGCAAGAGGAACTGTTGGGTACATTGCACCAGAAGTATGGAATAGAAACTTTGGAGGAGTCTCTCATAAGTCGGACGTGTATAGTTATGGAATGTTGATTTTGGAAATGGTTGGAGGAAGACAAAATATCAACAGAGACATGAATGATTCAAGTGATATATATTTTCCTCATTTGTTATACAATCAAATTGAGATAGACAAGAATGTAACAGAACATGATGGTATGACCAGAGAGGAAAGTGAAATTGCGAAGAAGATGATCATGGTGGGATTATGGTGCGTACAGACAATGCCATCAGATAGGCCTCCTATGAATAGGGTGATTGAGATGTTGGAAGGGAGCTTGGATCAGCTTCCGGTACCACCAAAGCCTTTCATGTTTCCATCTATTATTCCAACAACCAGCCGAGAGGAAAGTGGTGCTACAAATGGTGTTCTTTCCTTTTCGGTTGATTATCAATGTGGTAGATAGAATTCCTCTTTGCGCAAAAGTTACATCCTTCTATACTTATAAATAATGCATCATGGATACGAAATTTGTTTTTTTTTTTGACATTTTATGAATTTTGTAGTTTGAATTTCAAGAATTATGTGCAATCATCAAGTGAAAAGCATAGCATAAGCCATTACTAAGATATTACATGCTAGCTTCTTTCATGGATAATTTGTCCAATTTATTCAAAATACGAAAGGTTGAAAATATTATAGACAAGGAACAAAATGATTACCAAAAGAAATTCAGTCTAGTAGAAGCAATTAATTTATCATAATATGACAAATTAATATTTGAATCCTTACTGAAATATCTGATAATGCCTCGTAATTACTTCCAAGAATTATACATTTATTTTGTTGGACCAAAGTCTTTTTCTAGAAAAAAATAAATGTGTCATGAATGAAATGGTCAAGGAACAAATAATTTACATAATTTAGTAATCATACCTATAGAAAAAATAGCACTGAGATAGCGGAAATTTAATACTCCTCCGGTCCTTATTATAAGACCCAATTTGACTTTTTATTTGGTCCTAATTATAAGACCCAATCCATTTTCTCTCTTATATTTATGTATTTTTTTCCAAGATAATCCTTCTAATAATGATAGTTTTAGCCAATATACTTAATTAGCAAGGATATTTTAGGAATAACAACACTTATTTATTATAAATAACCAACTTAACTTACTTCCTTAATCTCCTCAAATAAGTCAATTGGGTCTTATAATTAGGACCGGAGGAGTATTATTTAAATTTCACACACACATATATATATATATAACTATTAAATTACCTTTATCTTAGCCGTATTGAATTTCATGATTACTAGTTCTTTGTTTTTAAAGAGATCAAGCATGCCAAAAGCCCTAAATTAACGCAAAATTTTCCTATGTGCGATAAAGAAATTTATTGCTAAATTTCTTTTGTTTAACTTCTAAATCAATTGTTTTTAAAAATGTGGTAAAATTGTTTGAACACCTAAAATTGATGGCTAAAGTTGAATCTCTGGCAATTCCTTTTTTCTTTTTTTCTTTGCTTGACTTTTAAATATATTTTTAAAAAACTTGTACACAATCTCATCACTTCTGAGGGGGGGGGGGAAGTCGTCAGCGACGACAGCTCCGCAGCCAGAAAATTTCGCCGGCTGTGCCATTGCCCACTACGAAAATAAAGGGAGGAGGAAGGAATTATATGTGTGTATGTGTGTATAAAATATTGTTTTGTGCGCATTTTGGTCAAGACACTCTTTTGCCGTTGAAAGGAACCTAGATTTTGTAGAATAATTTCAAAAAAAAAATCCTAAAAAATAATTAAGTTTCTGCATCGACCCTTAAGCATAATTTCCCCCCAAAATGTTAGGCAACAAGTCGGTAGAGTACGGCAATTATTTTTGGTTGACCTAGGTGTCACGCTCCCTTATCTGTTCCACTGAAAAAATAGATGTCATACACACATGTTTACATTTAATATTAATTTTTTTAAAAAAAATAGTGTAAACATTTTTAATTTTTAAAGGAAACTATATACTCGCTCCGTTTCTTATTATAAGAGACGAATAACTAAATTATGTTGATAAAAAACAATTAAAATTAGTTAAGAACAATCAATATGTAAAAAGTATTTTTTTTTTTCAAAAATACACTTATTAATAAGGAAAGAGAGCATGAGAGAGAACAATTAAATTCTTAAAAGAAAGAGAAGTGGGAGGGAGAGAGAGCGTGTATTGGAAACAAAATAAATATGGGTAAAATAGAAAATTAACACAAAAAAATAGAGACAACTTTTAAGTGTCTCTTATATATAAGAACATGTCATAAGCATCAAATGTCTCTTATAATAAGGAACAGATGGAGTACTTATTATATTTAAAGAAAAAATTGGCGAAACAGATATAATAAAAATGTATTTCATTAGATGTCAAGTTTCAATTTAAGCAGATTCGTAGCTGCATTATTTACTGCCTTTATAAGCTGCTCCCAGGATTTAGCTCCTATGGCGATCTTTATTTCGTGTTTAAAATTATGACTCAACTTCTTATAATTTATTGGGATTACTTTTATTGACTATCTTGGCTTAAATTAAAATCTATCATATCTCATTGTCTCCATATATATAATTGAAAGATCCCACACGACTTGCATATTGACTTACATCTAAAGACCATTTCACATTGTTCAAATTAGTCCCCAGCATTTACATCTGCAATATAATTCCTTTCTGTTATGGCTGCCCTTTGTCCCCTGTTGCTGTGCAATTAATCCAACTATGCATAGCAATTAAGAATATTTTGTTCCATGTTAGTGCCACCAACAGCATTTTCCTTACATATATCCATGCAGTATGAAGAGTTTTGTCTTACACATGATTGAACCAAATTCTAGTATAGGAGTTAATTAAAAAATTGGGTTTGGTTTTAAACAAGATCTCATCTAGTTTTTCTCAATTTATAATTTTTTCCTCAAATATTTTTATTAATTGTAAGGGTTCATACCAAGAAATAGTTACAATGCATATCATTAAATACTGAAGGTGGTATAAATCAAATCCAACCAAGTTAATTATTGCATGGTATGCAGTTTCTGAAATTTGAAAAATGAATCATATTAGTCAAGAGTAATGAATATCAAGGTTTGTTATTGATGTTTATACGCTATATTATGTTATATATATGGGTCAAGGTGAATTTAGTATTCCGAAATATTTTTTCTGGTATACCTACACTCTACAATATTTTGTAATGTATTCAGTATTTTAAAATATTTTTTTAAGCACGCTCATAATCTTGAATTTTTTTTTTGTGCATATCTAGCATGTTAGAATTTTTTTGGGAAAATCCCAAAAAAGGTCTTTGGAATATGAGAAATTCTAGATTGGGTTTTGGAATTTCGGAAATGACAGAATGGGTCAGTGACCCAATGTGTCATTTGTCAAATTAAGAGGAATTGACAACTTTGCCCTCATTTGCATTCATTCACTACAATGATTTAAGGAATCACTATAAAGGTTTAGGTGTTACCTAGATTTGTGTAGCGAATAACTACTCACTTTTTCATAGTCAGGTGTCTTGTTATTAACTACAACTAATTTTGTAATCACTAGAACAATGTAAGCATTACCTAGATTTGTGTAGAGAATAACTACTCATTTTTCATAGTCAGGTATCTTATTATTGTCAGATACCTTATTATTAACTACAACTAATCTTGTAATCACTAAAACAGTGTAAGCGTTACCAAGATTTGTTTAGAGAATAACTACTCACTTTTGCTTAGTCAGGGGTAAAATTGTCAATACGCCTTAATTTCACAAATGATAGATTGGGTCAATGACCCATTCTATTATTTTCAAAATTTAAAGACCCAATCTGGGATTTTGTATATTCTAAGGGCTTTTTCTGAGATTTTTCCAATTTTTTTCCCAGCTCAGCATCTTAAAATATTTTTTAGTACATCAAATACCAAGATATAAAAGACATTTCAGGATGCCAATACACTTAAAAGATAATTTAGAATACTAGATGCATTTGAAAAAGATATTTCGGGGTGATAATTGCATCATAACCCCAGATACACCTATATTTATCTTGATTTTTTTCTTGGTTCTCACAATGATAATTTCTCATAAAAAAATGAACAGCATGGCACATGCAGCCCTCGAGGTTGACTTTGGACAAAGACATGAGTGGGTTGGTCAATGGAGCCAACTAGGTTCGATTTTCTTGGAAGTGGTGGTTGATTAGTTTCTGTCAGGTGGCGAAAGGGGAGAAAAGAAAAATCAAATCTGTTATAACCTGCCGCGTAAGCAACAACTTGAAGCACATGAGAACAAAACGCAGGGCAATTTATTCAAGCTGTACAGCAGAAGAAGAATGCTTTGCACCCAAAACTTCATCAATTCCAAGATTTAGATTTGCAGAAGGATATAAGTAAATCTGAAAATGTAACAAGAGAGTTATGGCGACTTATATGGCGCATTTTGGGCATGTAAAACCAGCTATTCTTTTCTTTAATTTCTCTGCCACGAAGACATGAAACTTGGGTTTGGATCACATGGTTCTTCTTCTCATCCTCCTACATTTGTTCCTTCTTTCATGCTCTCTTTTGTTCTCTTCTAGCTTGGGTGTTTCTTGTTGAGCCTGACGTGTTTCCGTAGAGATTTAACTTGCGCCTTTTGTTCTTGAGTCTCTGGGTTGTTTCTGGGTTGTTAACAAAACTACATATATACATATATTATTCAAACAATCCAGATTATATACATATATGTATGTGATACTCAAAGGAGTTACAGCGGAAGACTTATAAATACCTCTCTCCATTAGCTCAGTTGATTTGATGTAGAACTCGATCTGAATAATGATAAGCTGTGAATTAAAGAACACAATTAGAGAAGAAAGAATGCAGGGAATCTTCCAGCTGGCGATTGGGCACAGCGATGGCAACTGGGATGCAGCCGTCACCAGTGGGGAACCCTCAGAGAGTGAGCAGAGATTAGGGTTTCGCTCCTGACTCAATGTACCGTATGTTATTTTCACCATCAGAAACTAACTTTAATTAATTGAGTCCATTACCCATCTTGGACTGGGCCCAAAATGACTACGGGCCACACTCTGAAATATTTATTAATTATCCTAATAATATCTAAATAGTTATATATTAATAATAAATATCTCACATCTCTGGGTTGTTTCTGGCTTACTTTTCAAAGGAACCCTTTTTTTACCCAGTAAGAGACAACAAACGTAGAGGCATCTATTTTGTTGCGGTTCTTAAAAGTCAACTTCTGCTTTAGACCGTACTTTTGTTTTCACATGAATACATTGCCAAGTTCCAAGTGGCTTCCATTTTGTCTTCCACACTTTCTGCCATTTAAACTTTCAAACTCAGCATATTCATCCTCGCCATTAGTATCATCCCCCAGGTTTGCACCAATGGATAATCATCCTATTCCTTTGCTTACATCCATACTCACCGTCAGCTTCTTCTTCTCAATAGCTTTGCCCCAATCCTACTCTCAGCAAAATGAAACATACCCTGTGTGCAGCCAACCATACAGTTGTGGATCTCTCACAAACATTTCCTACCCTTTCTGGGGACAAAATAGACCCAGTTTTTGTGGCAGAAATGGCTTCCGGCTCGTGTGCCCGAACGATCTAAACACTACAATTCAAGCTGGCTCACAAACCTTCCATGTACTGAAGATTAACCAGAGTGGTTTCACCATGCGACTTGTGCCACCAGAGTCAGCATATAATCTTTGTCCTCCCAATATTTCCAATATTTCTCTGAGTAGCAGTCCCTTCAGTTTCCTCTCTACAGTTCAGAACATCACTGTGTTATACGATTGTCCCTCCCAGATTTCTGGTGCAAACAACTTAACGTGCCAGAATAATCCTGGTAAACAAGCATTCTATGTGAATGAAACCCAGTTGCAGCGACTTTCAGGATTTGACAGATGCGGGTATCGTATTCAAGTGCCAGTTTCAGTGGATATTCCCCTGGGTTCTCTGAAGAATGCTCCGGATGAAGGGTTTGATGTGAAGTATGATGCATCGGAGTGTGAGGCATGCAAGACTTCTGGAGGAACATGTGGAGCGAATCAGAGTAATAGCTCGATGTTCTCATGTTACTGTCGTGATGGAACAGCCCACAATACAGCCTGTTCTACTAGCAGCAGTACGTTCTCTTTTATTTTTCTCCCCACAAATCTCTCTCTCTGTGTAGAGTGTGTTATATATTCGTCTTCAATTTTCATAGCGTCTAAGTGTTCTGTGTTTTGGTGGCAGGTAAAAGAAACAAAGTATTGAAGCTAGTTTTAGGTATGGCATCTCACTTCCAAGATTGTTTTGAGCATCTTAAACTGGAACTTCTACCTCAATGGCAGAAAGATTTATTTTTTTCTTTTTTCTGTTTTCGTGATGGTACCAGAACGGTCAAAGCTCGATTCTACAGTAGCATCATGAAATTTTTTGTTTATTTTTCGTAGGTTTTGTAGCTACTGGAGTTGGATTGCCTCTCATTGCTGTCACCATATGCAAAAATAAAGCTAAAATATGGCGGTTCATAACAAGCCGAGTTGGCAACAAGAAGAAGGATCGAGAAATTGAAGCCTTCCTTCGAAGTCAGGGGCCTCTGGCTCTGGAAAGATACAGCTTCTCGGCTTTGAAGAAAATGACAGACTCATTCAAAGTCAAACTTGGAGAGGGAGGCTACGGTGCTGTTTACAAAGGCAAGCTCCTTGATGGCTGTGCCGTAGCAGTAAAACTCCTGCACGAAGCCAGTCAGGACAGCGAAGACTTCATCAACGAAGTCTCTAGCATCGGCAAAACCTCCCATGTTAATGTTGTCACCCTCCTGGGTTTTTGCTTAGAAGGACGTAGAAGAGCTCTGATCTACGAGTTCATGTCCAATGGTTCTCTGGAAAAGTTCATTTCCAAGAAGAAACCAGATGATCAAACTGTTCCATCACTGAGTTGGGAGACTTTAAATGAGATTGCCAAAGGAATAGCTCGAGGACTGGACTACCTTCACAAGGGATGCAACACTCGAATCTTACACTTTGATATAAAACCCCATAACATCCTTCTGGATGAAAAATATCACCCAAAGATCTCAGATTTCGGGCTGGCCAAGCTGAACACCAAAGAAGAGAGCATTATCTCCATATCAAACGCGAGAGGGACGATCGGGTATGTGGCTCCAGAAGTGTGGAACAAAAGCATAGGAGGAGTTTCACATAAGTCCGACGTATACAGCTACGGAATGATGCTGCTGGAGATGGTTGGAGGACGGAAGAACACTAACGTTGTTGAATCCGAAGGAAGCAGCGGGTCGGGGAGCGAGTTGTATTTCCCTCCATTGACGATGTACAAGAAGCTTGAAGCGGGAAGTGACGTGGGCGGTGTTAAAGGGATGACCAGCGATGAAGAGAATGAGATAGCGAAGAAGATGACAATGGTGGGACTGTGGTGCATTCAGACAATTCCTGCTCAAAGACCAACCATGAGCAGAGTCATTGAAATGTTGGAAGCTAGTACGGAATCTTTGGAAATGCCGCCGAAGCCTTTTATGTCTTCTCCTTCGACATCAACCTCTGAATGTTCCTTTACATTAGCTTCACTGCAGAGTGCTTGATGTTTATTTTAATCTTGTAAACTTATTAAATGCGAAAATAATGTAAATTAAAGCGCATGAAAGCATGTAAGAACATGTTTCTGTTGCGTGTCTCTTGTTCTGCCCTCTATATGCGTTTGCCACGTCGATGGTTCGATGCTTGGTCAGCCATTTGTTCTAAAAGTTTCATTAGCTAACCAACTCAGCAATCAGACTCTTGTTAAGGGTTTGAAACTTGGAGGCCTAATTAACAGAGTAAAGGTGTTGAAGTGTAAATTTCACTTTTAAAAATCTGTTTGCTGCCAATCTACTTCCGGATCTATAGCATTATCACCTTCGTGTCCTCAGATGAAAATGAAATCCGTTTCATTGACATCGATCACGAGACTCTTGATATTACATGCACGGATTGACGGTGTCTCTTTCAAGAGGCGATCCAAATGTGACCAATCGATACTTTAACAAATACAGTTATCAGCGCTTCTTTTACCTCCTTGCACTCGACATTAGAGTCAATTAAAAATTTAATTTAATTTTAAATATAAGATTTTGATACATTTTGTCTTTCATATTAATTTATGTTTTCCCAAAGTAGTTCTATAATGATTGCACATATTAAATACTACCTTCAGTCCTTAATATGAGAATTTATTTAATTTTTATTTTAGTCTTAGATATAAAACCCCAATCATTTTGTCTCTTATATTTATTCATTTTATCTCAAGATAGTTCTTGTAATAATAGTAGTTATAATTAATACACTTGATTAATAAGAATATTTTTGAAAAAAACAGCACCTATTTATTACAAATAACTAACTTAACTATTTTTTTTTAATCTACTCAAGTTAGTCGACTAGCTCTTATATTAAGGACCAGACGTGATAGTTTCATTTATAATTTATATTACTAATAATGGTATTTTAGAACAGAAAATACTAATTTATTACAAATAACTAACTCAACTAATTTTTTAATATTTATAAATTAATTATTTATATTTTTTATATTAAAGACCGAAAATAATATTTTACTAATTTTTTTACTCTATAATCACTAATCACTATAATGAGATCTACAATATGAGAACGTCAAATTTCAAACCATATATTGAACCTATTGTGATCCGTGTTGGTAGCATAGGACCTATATATTAAAGTAACCAAGGAAAAAAAAATCCATGGGTTAATATAATCTTTTATCCTTAATTTATGTCTATTTTAATTTTAATCCATCAAATTTTAAACTGATAGCTTTAGTTCATAAAATTTAATCCGTCTTAAAATATTAGTTTCCGTAGATGTAATGGTGTCAAAATCTAATCATATCAGTGTTAAATTGAAAACGTGGATTCATTAGATTCTCAAAACCCATCTGTTTGGCCCCAAGTTTTTCTTCCTCACTGTTCGTCTCAAGAGTTCTTTATTGTATTGCATTTTGCTATCCACACAAAATCTAGTTAGGTGTCATTCAGTTAGTCCACATCACTATTTTTAGCATTATGATGACAGTTCAGTAAATTTTAATATTGTTACACTTTTAGTTACTAATGTTTTAAAATAAACGAAATTTCAAGAACTAAAATTGGGTTTGAAATTTAAAAGACCAAAACTAAAATGGATTTAAATTTTAAGTATAAAAAGTTATATTGACCCTAATAACGTGATACAAATTTTGTTCTAGAATGGCAAGTACGTTTATGAATCACAGCTGTTCTTTTGTACTTTTAAAAGGTTATTTATGCTTTCCCGTCCCATTCCTCCTAAAGTCGGGTTGTCGCTACGTTTTGCAACATGCAAGCAAATCTAATCAAATCTAATCTAAGGGGCTTGTGGGGGCTCACCAATTTTTTTGGTAAGAAAGGGGCTCACCAATTTTTCCCCCCCTAAAATATAGACGTTCTTTTATTAGAAGTAATTCTATTTGAGACATTGCTTGATTCTAAATGTGAATACTTTTTTCAGCAGGGATTCAAATTTTTGTTTGTCACGTTATGAAATACTAGTCTTTTCTGTTAGACCTAATTCCTGTTAATAGGACTCATCGATTTGATTTGAGGAGATACATGATAGCATCATGGGCTTTGTTATTTGGGCTTCGACCTTAATTAATAGATAGGCACTGACGGATCCAAAATGAATGGGAGTGAGAGTCAATCTGAACTCAAAACTCAGAAGTGCAGTAACAAGTCATATTTTATCTTCCATATAGCAACTAATAGCGGCATATTTTTTGTCCTAAACATAACATCTAATATACTTTGCATTTACTTCATTGCAGGGTGCTTGATGTTTAATAATCTTGTAAACTTTTTGCATACAAAAATAAGTAAATTAAGGGTGTGTTTGGTATGAGAAAAAAATGAGAGGAGAGGAGTGGAGGAAAAATTTTAATAAGTTTGATTTAAAAAATTAAAAGAATAGGGTCAAAAGCTTTTAATTATTATTATTATTATTATTTTAATTGAAATTTCAAAACGTTGCTTCTCTAATTTTTAAGTAAAGCTTATTAATATTTTTTTTTCTTTTTCCTTTCCCTCTATTTCACTCATACCAAACAGTATCTACAGCGCATGAAAGTATGTGAAAACATCTTTCTTTTTTAGTTTGCCTTGTAAACTTGTTTATTTTTAGTTTCTGAATGTAGTCCTCAGTTTTTCATTCCAAAAAAAAAAAAAATCTTTCTTTTGCTTCTCTGTCTCAAGGTGTCGTTTTACAGCATGGAGCCATGCGTTTTCTGCCCTATGTGTTTGCCACGCGGATCGTTCGATGCATGGTCTGCCATATATTATGAGTTTCGTTAGCTAGCGAACTCAGGGTCTTATTAACGGCTTTAAAGTATAGGATTGCATGCCTTAAATTTTAAAACACACGGACTGGTTTCAAGATTAGTGAAAACCATAGGGATTAGAATAATAAGGCTTGTTTGATTTCTTATTTTGAAAACAATTTTTTATTTTAAATTTGTTTGGTATTTTGTTTTTAGTTGGTGCTTTTAAAAAGGAAAAAAACAGCAATATGTTTTTAAAAATTAAAAAACCAAAACAAATTTTAGATTTTTTTTGTTTTTTATTTTGTATTTTTTATTTTGAAAAATTAGAAAAATCTTCTCCTTTTGTTTCACTGATTATCCACCACGTATTATTGTCATGCCACAGCCCACAATTGTCATGTGATTTGCTATATTTTTTTTTGTTTTAAATATGATTTTTTAAAAAATAATTATCCAAACAGATTTTTTTATTTTTTTATTCTTAACATTAAAAAAATAATTTTATAATATTGTTTCTGGAATAAGGGGGAAAAAAAGAACAAACAACCACATAATTTCCCCTTTCAAAAATCTATCCGCTCCCAATCTACTCCTGAATATTTAAGGGCTTGTTTGGAGTTTTATTCAAAATGGTTTTTTTTTAAGTAAATTTATGTAATTTGAGACAAAACTCTCATCACATACTTACATTATATTTCATAAATTACGTTTGAAAAATTACTTATAAGTCAATTCAAACAAGCCCTAAAGCTATATGGCTTGTTGCTCGTCTTCTCTTTCATTTTGCTTTCCTCCTCCGGTTTCATACCAGCAATGTCAGGACCGCTTTTCCACTTTCAATTGTAGCATCGAATGGTTGGAGCTCAGATGAAAATGATCGATCACGTGAGACTCTTGATATTACATGGATTTGAAAGCAGAGCAAACTTTTCACTCCATCATTACCCAAAGGGTGTTTGAATTAAAACAAAATTATAGTTTTAAAAATGATTTTACGGTATACAAAATAAATATGTAAAAAAGTTTGTCTTGATTTACAGAAAAATGCTTTTGAAAAATATTTTTACAGCTTTCTAAACACTCGTCAAGTCTCAAGCTCTCGTTTTGCACAGTCACCCTTAAATCTGTAACTGCATTGTTTTCCTGAGGGTTTGAGGAAGCACATGATTAGCATCATTCGCTTTGTTATCTGAGCTTGGATCTGAATTGAGGGATAGAAACTGACCATACTAATAATCGGTACGGAACCTCTCCTATTCTTTTCCATCCTCTTAATTATTCTCTTCCTCAATCGTAATTTTATCTAAAGCTTAAAACCAACTCACTTATCATAGCCACGTCGTTTTGCGGAGTTTTTTTTAAGACTTGGAAGCACCCGTGATTCAGATCTGTGCCCGTATTATGTATCAGTATTACAGCAAAACAGCCATGGCTTCCACCTTCATTAGACACTGTTGTGAAAACATTGCTATGTGTGTCACTTCTTTGCTGCCGCCAACAGACACTAGGCTTTCTAGCTTTGATTTTACAGCCTCACACAATCCTAGAGCAGTAGTGTCCATCTTTGATAAATTTTTCACAAGGATTAAATAGAGACTGACCCTATTAATAATAGCTTGGTGTGTGAGGGGTAGTTATTAGGTGCTGCCGAATAGTATTTTAAAGAGAGAATTACAACGAGCTTCCAAATAAAAAAAAAATTGGAAAACAAGTTACAGATGTTGTCATTTTCACTATAAAACCTATCATTATAAGCTGTTGAGATTGTGATTGAGATTTTTTAGTAATTATTTTTTTTGTGAAACTTAATTGTAATTCTCCTTATTTTAAATTGGGTTGTTTCTGGTAAAAGAATGCGCCTGCTAAAAAGAAGCCTGGTGTGGTCATTTTGACGTCCTGGGTCGGTGCGTCCTCTCCGAGAAGTGGTTTTTGCTGTCTCTTGCCAAGTTTCATTCTTCTCTTTGCTGAAGGACGTCAATACTCTCCATCAATAGTCCTAACTCCTAGCCATAAATGCATGCCTCTTCTTCAAAGTTGGATTTGGATGAACTGAAATGCTCTGTCAAGGGGGAAAAAAAAACTACGAAAAATTAGGAAACATATTCCAAATCATTTATTTTTAAATCGCACATATCTGACAGTAGAAAAACTAAAAATAATACAATATTTTATTCCATATTTAAAATATTTCTTATAAAAATTAACGTCAGCTAACATATCTCTTAAAAAAACACTGAAATACTACATCCAATTCTAATTATAAGATCTTATTTATAAAAACAATATCTTATAATTAGGCAGGAGAGATAGTATTAAATTAAGGGAAAAAGACAGACAAATGCTAACCGATTTTGAGAATGACTAGAACATCCGTCCAATTTGCAAAATGCCATTTTGGTCTCAAAAGACCAAATTGGCATTATTATATCAAATGAAAAAGACCAAATTACCCTTTCTTTTAAATATTGTTTTTAAAGTATCACAGCTCCTACTGGCCGGCCAGTCACCGGAGCTCCGGCG